GGGGGGGGGGCGGGACAGGGAGGAATAGGAATGGACCACAACCTATTTGGGTACATTTTTGTTATAGGGTATATGAAGTTACAAAGGCTTCCTAATGGTTCTTATATGATCCTGCCCATTTGGGGTATGTATGTTTAGAATTCTGATGTATTATTTATTGTACTGCAGCCACAGTATTTCCTGGTCCAAGTTCTGATTTGGAAAGTACTGCAACAGGAACTTTTAATGGCAGTGAACTGCTTACACGGATTCTTGGTTTGGAAAAGGTAACTTCACTTAATTTCACAATAGACTGATAATGAACAGGTTGAACAAATGCATATTAGGTTAACAGAGGGAATCTGTTATCTACAGAGGAAGTGGTTTGGAGCACCTGTCCCATTTAAGTCCTATCTCAGACAGATTCTTTTCTAAAGGACTCTTCAATCACTGCTTAATTCAAAGACTTCGTGAATTCTTTAAGTCCTTGGGCATTTATTTACTGCCCTGGTAAGTCCCTTAATTAAACTTCGTTTTTATTTAGCAAGAAATAAGGAGACATTATGTGCAATTTTTCAACCTTTTTGAAGCAGGGAGAGAGAGAGAAGTGAAACCTTAATGCTCTTTAAATGTTCTACCTCATCCATATTAAATAAAGTCCTTGGACAAATTAAGACTGGAAAAATCTCCCCCCAGTAGAAAAAAAATCTTTTCTCTTAGCATATTTTAGAGAGCTTGCCTATGGACTTTTCTGTTTACTGGAGATCATTCATTTTGTGATTTCCCAGATTGCAATATGATAAACATAGTTTTATAAAGGATATACAGCAGCAGCCTGTAAAGTATGTGTGTATGTGTATTGTAAACAGGGAAGTTAAGAAATTAAACATGAGCATATTTGAGCAGAACAGGTGCCTTTCTGTTAACTGTAACACCTTTTCCTTCCTATTTCTTTTTCTTTGTCCATCATGGGGCTTGAACTCTGGGCCTGGACACTGTCCCTCAGCTCTTCAGCTCAGGGCTATCACTCTGCCACTTGATTGAGCCACAGTGCCACTTATGGTTTTCTTGTGGTTTATTGGAGATAAGAGTCTCATGGACTTTCCTGCCCAGGACCAGGCCGGTTTTGAGCCGCAATCCTCAGATCTTAGCCTCCTGAGTAGCTAGGATTACAGGTGTGAGCCACTGGCACCCAGCCCTTTCTGTTTCTTAACCAACAAATTTCATATATTTAAGCAATTTGGCCTCTACGGTGGACATTTGAATCCTGAATTTGCGTGCTCTTCAGAAATGAAGAGACCATATTTAATATTTTTGTTGGAAATATTTTCCCTCTCCTTTCTGTCTCCTTTCCCTCTCTGTATCATGCTCAGACACAGAAATCCATATTATAGTCATTTTTTGCATCTGACTCATGAAATATGTCTCTGACCTTTACTCACATTCTGCACCCATAACCACTACTGCTTAATATGTCATCATTAGTGACTTTTGAATTAACTTTCCACATAACTAAGGTGTCTTAGTAAACTAGGTGTCATATTTGAGCAAAAAGATGCCTCAAAAATGGATTCCAGGAAAAGGCATCAAACTGATCATCACTGAGGTAACTCTGCCAGTGCTGGCTGGACTTTTTTCATTCAATATAATCATGAGTGCTCCCTTGCCAACCTGAGATGTTTAGCAGTTAACTCCAGTTTAAAGCTCTCCCAACTATGCTAGTATGCAGACTAGGAGATCAACTCTATTCCATTATATTTCTTCCATGTTTGTTCCTAGGAAGCATTCATCCATTGGATCATATAAATTCTTTAATATGAAGAATAGAAATATTATTCTCAAAAAACACCACTGTATAGAAACTCTCAGGTATTCCTTTTCATATTGAATGTAACTTCTGAATTTTGTGAGGCACTACAGAGTCATATATCCAAGGAGATAAGTCCAAAATGAACTTTATATGTTGTAGATATATTTTTAGAGAAATTGGAGCAGGGAAAGGATGTAAAAATTAAGATGACATATTGATGCCTGTGTCAGCAATCTTTCTGATTCCTTTCTTTCCCTTTACTGCTTTCTGCAACCCTGGCAAGAATGAGTAGAAAAATCACTGTGGAGTGAGTTTATGTGTAATGTTAGAGGAGATATGGATGAATGACTAGAAGATATAGAGTTTAATATACATTCTAGATAAGTGGATCCTGTCTTAGTCCATTATATTTAGAAGCTGAGTTGGTGGAATACAGAGTATAGAATTTGTGATGTAAACTTAAGGATTAAGTTGACCCTCACCTAACAGAATAATAAGAATTAACATGAGGAGATCCTTAACGGTTACAAATTAATTTAGTCATCTCTATAACTATTTAAACAAATGGATAATTGTGGATGTAGCCAATATTTTAGCTGTAAATAATGCTGCATATTTGAGGAGACTGCACTATGGAATCTATAGAGGGATTGTAATGATTCCATTATCATGTCTAATAATACAATGATGTTGAATTTATCAGTATTAGATACATGATTTTTTTCAGACAAATATTTTTCCTTACTTTTCCTACATGAGATTAGAATGAAACTATTCATCTCTTTACTTCTGTAAATAAGGAAGGTTGGTCCTGAGAATGGACCTTAAGGCCCTCCCCTGTTTTGAAAATCTCCAAAAGATCACAAACAACTTCCTTGGGGCGGGGGAGAAGTACAAATTTAAGACACCTGAGTTTCTGCTATTCAATGTCAAGGAAATAGGAATAGGAATTTTTTCCTCCTTTATCTAGTTTATTAATTATTTTATTTTTATTATCTTTAAGTGGTTGTACAAAGGGGTTGCAATTTAGCATGTCAGTTTATGAGTACAATGCATCTTGAATGCTATCATCTCTTACAAATAGGTCTGTGATGCATGAGATTTTTTGTTAGAAAACCCTTGATGGATTTAGCTCTATCAGAGACAAGAAATGGGTTCAGATACATAATCAAATGGTAATCATTCAAATCATAACAATGCCAAGAATTTGTCACATTCATCTATAATTATATCATTTTCCTCTACAAGTCCCCATAGTTATACTATATACTATATACCATATACTATATATTTTTATTTTAATAGTTGCAATAATAATGCACAACTTTTAAGGTGACTGTTGTAAAGACAGGTCAGTTCTCTTAAAGAACAGAATAGTTTAACATCTATATGTACTAATATTACCTCTTCTCACACATGTTTCTAGCTCTTAAAGCAAAATGCCACTTCAGAAGACATACGGAAAGAAATATGTGAGACCTATCCAGGATACAATGCAAATTATTCCTTCTCTTGGCTCACTCTAGGAAAAAATATTTTTAACAAATTCTGCCTTTCCAACACGACCCTTTTAGAATCTTCTCTCCAGGAATTAAAGAAGCAATTCTCTCAGGTGAGTGAAAGATCTTTTAAAATGTCCAAGATCTTATATGTAATTGAGAGTTGTACTGTTTTCTTACTTGAATTTACAAAGTGACACAAGATGAATCAATGATCAAGTCTGTAGCCCATGTAGGCTGGGAAATACAGCCTGGAATTTTTTCTCACCTTTAACATATATTCCTCACATTGACATTTACACACAATCTGTAATGCTTAGTAATATTCATTTGTCATATAAATGGGCAAGATTTGAAATGATCTGATGTTGAATTAGAAATATTGCAATATGGTTAATGTAGACACACCTTAATAGATGAAATATGTCTTGGCTCCATGGTGGATAAGATTGACTGTTTTCCCTGAGTTCTGTAAATGAGGTTATTCAGGATAGAATGCAAGTTTAATAATTGAACTAACAGTTAAACAGCTGTCAGAAGTGAGAACAATGAGTAAGGTCATTTTATTTTTTCTCACTGACCTCTAATGATGAAAGAATGGCACCATTAATCTACACTTAACAAAGCCTACTGAATAGAAAAATATTTTTAACATTTCTGAATTCTTTTGAAATTTTACAAACAAAAGTGAATTGAGACATCTGCTTCTAATTTTTCCTTTTGAATCTCTGAACTTTATGTAAATAATTATTTAAAATCTAAAAATTGCTGGGTGCCAGTGGCTCATCTCTATAATCCTATACTCCGGAGGCTGAGATCTGAAGATCACAATTCAAAGCCAGCCTCATTATTTAAGTCTGTAAGACTCTTATCTACAATTAACCAGCATGAACTCCAATAAAATAAACTCCAGAAATAGAGCTGTGGCTCAAGTGGTAGAGCACTAGCTTTGAGCAAGAAAAGCTCAGGGACAGTGCCCAGGTCCTGAGTTCAAGCCCCAGAACTGGCATATATACAAAACAAAAAAAATTAAAAATTGCAGTAGAGTAATAAACCCAATCTGATACAAAGCATGGAAAAATGCTTTCTTAAACTAAACCATGTAGAGTAAATTATGTGACCAAAAATGCATTGTTTAAAATCATTATTGACCTGAAAGTCCCTGAGTTAAGCCACATTGGAAACACAAAAATTTTTGCATGAATGAGCATATGAACAGACTTGCCTTAAATGAGAATACAACAAAGAAACTACTCTATGTCTGAAGGTACCAGCTGTGTCCTGTGAAATGGATGAAACCCCAAAGTCACCATGTTATTTGTTTCAAGGGTAGGGTGTGATTATTACACATATTTGCTCATTATTGATCCTTTTTATAAGTATTGTTCATGGAATCGCAACAGAACTTTGGAAATATTTATTGCACTGTGTGTAATTGCGACAGTAAATAGTATTTCATGAATGTATTTGTACATGAGATATATACTATATGTCATGATTGTATCAATACTATATTTCTATATGTAATCTATCTATAATATAGATAATAGTTTTAAGAGCTCTTTCCCCAAAACTATAAGTTCTACGAAACATAAAGAGTGGAACCTATGCTATATCAATAGTATATCCTAAAGAAAATGAAAAACATTATCCAGAAGCTAATTTTGTGTTTGAAAATTAATTTCCAAAGACATTATTTAAAATACCTTACATCAATATGGCTTTGTGAACAAAACATTAAATAAACCAATTTGTGGAGTTGCTATGTAGGTAAGCTCCAGTTATATTTATGAATATGAGAAATAATTGCAGGTTTTCCATCTAAAAGTGAGTTTCCAAATGAATGAGAACTCTGAAAGCACTGCTGATGGGAAATGCTTTCAGAGACAGCAGCCAGGTGATTGGCATGTGAGCTTTACTCCTTTTTTTTTTTTAATTGTAAAGGTGATGTACAGGGGTTACAGTTATATAAGTAAGTAAATGAGTATAATTCTTGTCAAACATTGTCACCTCCTCCCTTATTTTCTCCTGCTGTCCCTCCCCCTGCCTGCCCTTCCCCCAAGTTTGTGTTCATTTCCAACAGTGTTTTATGAGCAGCACTGTTGCATTGGCTCTCCCTTCGTCCTTTGTTGCACCATTTCTGTGATTCCTCTTCCCATCCCCAAACCAGATAAACTTATATACAATACAGTGGGTACTAAGATCAAAACAGAGGGTAAATCAAAGGAAAGAAAAAAAAGAAAAGAGAAGTAGCTGCATACAGTACAGTAAGTAAAACAGCAACTCTTGTTACCATATCTTGAAGTTCATTTCAATTGGCATCATTTTATACGATCATATGTACATAGCATTGAACTATTGTGATCCTCTGCTAGAAGTATTCTACATTTGTACTCATTATTCGAATGAGGAAAACCAGGCAGCTTTGGGTCTGACTTACCACTTAATTGGATTTTCCCCCCAAGTCTTTCCATTTCCTTATGAATGAGTTGATGTCTTTCTTTCTGATGGAATCACAGGATTTGATTGTGTATTTAAACCACATTTTCTTGATCCATTCATCCATTGAGGGGCAACTGGGTTGATCCCATGTCGTGGCTATGGTAAATAATGCTTCAAGGAATATAACTGTGCTGGTAGCTTTAGTGTGTCCTTGTTTGTGGTCATTTGGGTAAATGCCCAGGAGTGGAATTTCCCACCAATAGTGTATAGTGATGTTTTCTTTTGGCCCTAGGAATTCATGGATATTACTCAATATAAGAAAAGCTGTATATGACCAAGCTATAGCAAGCATTATACTTAATGGTGAAAAGTTAACACCATTTCCTCTAAAATCAGGAATGAGACAAGGATGCCCACTCACTCTACCCCTCTTCAATATAACATTGGAATTCCTAGCCAGAGTATTAAGGCAAGAAACAAACATAAAGAGGATCCAGATAGGGAAAGAAGAAGAAAAACTCTCACTCTTTGTAGATGACATGATCCTATATTTAAAGAATCCCACAGACTTCTGTCCTAAGGTACTTGAGCTGATTTAAAACTTTTGCAGAGTAGCAGGATATAAAAGTAGCCCACAAAAATTAATAGCTTTTCTATATGCCAACAATGAGAAGAGCAAGGCTGAAATCAGGAAAGCAACTTTTTGTAATAGCCTTAAAAAATACCTAGGAATTAACCAAATATTTGAAAGACCTCTATAATGAAAAGTTTTTAAAAAATTGAAAAAGGAAATTAAAGCAGAACTCAGGAAGTGGGAAAACCTCCCATGCTCCTGGATTGGGAGGATTAACATCGTGCAAATGTCAATACTGCCAAAGCTGTCTACAAATTCAATGCAATACACATCAATATCCCAACAACATTCTTTAATGAAATAGAAGAAGCAATCCAAAAATTTATATAGAATAATAGAAAACAATCCCTAGCATGAAAAACCGTGCTAGAGGAATATCCATACCAAACTTCAAACTCCATTATAATGCCAAGATATCCTGGCACATGAACAAGCGTGAGGACCAATGGAACAGAATTTAAGACCCAGAAATGTACTCACAGATTTGTGGCCACCTAATCTTTACTAAGGGAGCCAAAAGAAGCACAAAAAACAGGATAGAAGATAGACAGCCTCTTTAACAAATGATGCTGGCAGAATTGGCTATATATGTATAGAAAATGGAAGTTGTATTCTTTTTTTGGGGGGGTCCAGTCGTGGGGCCTGAACTCTGGGCTTTGGCACTGTCCCTCAGCCCTTCAGCTCAAGGCTAGTGATCTACCACAGCACCACTTCTGGCTTTTCTTCTTTTTGCTTATGTGGTGCTGAGGAATCGAACCCAGGGCCTCATGCATGCAAGGCAAGCACTCTACCACTGAGCCACCTTCCCAGCCCAGAATTTGGATTCTTATATATCATCCTGCACCAAACTCAACTCCAAATGGATCAAAGACCTCAATATAAGATCAGATACCCTGAAAATATTAGAGGAATGCATAGGGGAAACACTAGGGCTTCTAGGCACAGTTAGAATCTTTCTCAATAAAGACCCTGAAATACAACAAATCAAAGAAAGGTTGGGTAAATGGTAAAGGACATAGCTAGCAAGATAAATAGAAAACCCACATATTGGGAGAGGTCTTCACTAGCTATACAATAGACAGAACCTCATATCTAAAATATACTTAGAGCTCAAAAAATTAACTCCCCCCCACAAATAAAATCCCCTAAGAAACAACCACCCCATTAACAAGTGGGCTAAAGACTTAAAGACTTTTCTGCATTTTGTTATTTCCCTTCCCCTCCCCTAATTAGAAAAATGAAGAACTTGGATATGTTTTGAATAACGGTATATCTTAGTTTAACTTTATACACACACTATATATGATGTTTTATGTATGCATGTGTGTATAGCTATCAGTCTGTGTATCTGCCTATCTATCAATACAGACTATTTGAAAAAGAAGAGCCTCATGCTAGCTACTACTAATAATAATAATGATGTACCTTCACAACAATAATGAAATAAACTGCTGAAGACACCTCCCTACATATTTTCTGTATACTCAAGGGTATATCTTGTAAAAAAAAAAGGAGAGAGAAAGCTAGATAGATACTCAATATCCCAAATGGATTTCTCAATGCAATTCTTTCTTTTTGTGAGCATATGGAATGAAATGATGGTCTTCTAGTGACAAAGGAGTCTGGTATTTGGCTTTCCCAGAAATTCTTTTCCCTTGCAAGTTCATAGTTCTTTGTATTTTGCTGATCCACAGGAGCCACTGATACTCAAATAAAATAATGCCACTGTGATGTTAAAATAAAGAGAGAGAGACTTTTCTGAGGAGGAAATAAGAATGGCTGTGATGTGGCCAAAAGGGAATGCTACTACACTGTTGGGGGAAGTATAAACTGGCTCAGCCACTCTGGAAAGCAGTATGGAGGTTCCTCAAAAGGCTAAACAAAGAGCTCCCCTATGACCCAGAAATCCTACTCCTGGGAATTTACCCAAATGACCACAAACAGAGCCAGATTAAAGCTACCAGCACAACCAAGTTCATTGCAGTATTATTTACCATCGCTAAGATATGGAATCAACCTAGATGCCCCTCAGTAGATGAATGGATCGAGAAAATGTGGTATATATACATGCCTCCATCAGAAAGAATGACATCACCTCATTTGTAAGGAAATCAAAAGACCTGTAAAATCATATTAGGTGAAGCAAGCCAGGCCCAAAGAAAAGTAGGTTGCATGGTTTCCATCATTTGTAATAACCAGAATATGTCTATGATATTCTTAGAAGGGGATCACAACAGCCCAATCACTAAGTGTACAGGACCATATATAATGAAGCATATCAAAATGAACTCCAAGAATTGGAAACAAAAGGTTCCTTTTATGTGCTGTATGTAGTTATTCTTAGTTTTTTCTTTCTGTTTTTGTTTTCTGTACCATATTGTCTTGTGTATAAGCTAATCTGAACTGTGGAAGGGAAAGGGAATCACAGAAACAGCAGGACAAAGATGAACTAATGCAACCATGATACTCACTAGACCTAAGTTGGAAATGAATTTTACAACTTGCAGGGGAGTTGAGTGGGGAATGGTAAGCAGGAGAAAATGAGCGAGTGGGTAACAGTGTTTTATAAGAAATATACGCATTACTTTAGTATTGTTACTGTAACACCCCCCCACCCCCATTCAGTACCTTTACAATAAATAAAAATAAAATAAAAAATAAACACCCCAAAAACAAATCCCCAAAGAAACAACCACTTCATCAATAAGTAGGCTAAAGACTTAAAGAGAGACTTCTCAGAAGAGGAAATAAGAATGGCCAATAGACACATAAAGAAATGCTCAACTTCTCTGGCCATAAAAGAAATGCAAATCAAAACAATATCGAGATTCCACCTCACCCCAGTTAGAATGGCCATTATCAAGTAAACTAATAATAACAACAGATGCTGGTGGGGATGTGATTACCTGTCTTAAAGCCTCACTTCACTCTTCTTGGTTTTGTTTTTTTAAGCTATCAAGTGACCCCAACAATCAGAAGCTCGTGTTTCAGGAACTCGTTAAAGTGCTGTCCTTCTTCTCACAAGTGCAGGAGCAGAGAGCTGTGTGGCAGCTTCTCTCTAGTTTTCCAACTGTGTTTCAGAATGACACATCACTAAGCAATCTATTTGATGTACTCCGAAAAGCCAACAGGTAAGAAAATTTAATGCTAACTACACATCACGTTATTGTTCACAAAGAAGTCTTTTTGGAAAAAAAAAACATACTGCTGGTGAGGATGTCAGGAAGGTAATTTAAGCACAGAGTGAAAAAATTCTTCAGCTTCTTATTACAGATATTAGCGGTGAAGGTGAGTATATTAGTTAAACATTAAGTATTTGATAGGAAGGTTTGAACTTTGGTTTCCTAACTCCAAAACCAAGTTTGCCTGTTAAATATATCATTTGGATGCATAGTATTATCTTAGTTGAAATGTCTAAATTATCAGAAGAGTTGATTCTCATTTTGGGATGCTTCCAAGAGCTTTGATCAGTTCAAAAACATCATCATACACCCTCTGTCAGTACATTTATCTTACATGATTCTCACAACAGTATTTTTGGATAAGATAACCAAGCCTCATTTTAAAGAGGAGGAAAATCTCAGAGAGGTCAGCTGACTTCCTCAAAGTTGGACAACTGCCACGTAGCAAAGCCAAGACTTGAACTTAAGGAGTCTATATTCAATCTTGTGTTTTTTCTGTAATAGTATATCATTATTGATGTACTGAAAGAGCCAAATATTAGTCAATGGTAGAAGATCAAAAGAGACCATATGTGTTATTTTGGTAGAGCAAGTTAGCACAGGGAAGGCAATGCAGTTTGGCTATTTTAATTCCCTAAGACTTTAAATAAGTTATTTCATATTTTGGCATCATGTAGTAGAATATATAGTCCAGTAATGATTACAAATGCAAAGTCTGCATAGATAATGAAAGAAGCTTATAATAAATGGCTTCAAATTACTATAAAGCAAATGGTATTTGACTTTTTAAATTTTTTGTTGTCATAAGAATGTGAACATAAGATCCACTCTGTGAACATATTTTAAGTATACAATCTATTTTTGTTAATTATAGGTACAATTTTGTACAGCCTACATCTAGAGCCTATTCATCTTGTTCAACAAATTCTTTAGGTACATTTATTACTAACTCAGTTCCTTGTTCCCCCAAGCCTGTGAAAACCACATAGTACTGTTTGATTTTCCAAACTTGGCAATGCTTTAAACCCTCTTCCCTATTACTTCCAAGCAGATCAAAATCTGACTCTCTCAGACCTAATATAAGTGAAATCATGCTGTACTTGTTCTCTGTGACTACTTTATTATTATTTCACTGAGGATAATGTCTTTAAGGTTTGTCCATGTTGTCTCTATATTGAAGACTTTTCTTTAAAAAATCTGGATCATATTCCATTGTGTTCTATATCATATTCCTCTTCTCCATTCATAGGTCAATGGCAATTTACAACAAGCATAGGAACGCTCATTGTTTTTGAGATGTTGATTTTAGTCCTTTTGGACAAATGCTCAGAAGAGAGATCATAGATCATGTGGAAGTTCTATTTTTAAATGTTTGAAGAACCTTGGGCCATATTGTTTTCCATAGAGGCTGCATTAGAATGAATTCCAAGGGTTCTAATTTTTCCACATCTTTGCCAGGTTTATTGTCTTCTGTTTATTTAACAATAACTATCCTGACAGATATGTTGTATCACACCTTGATTTGTATTTTCCTGTTGATTAGTGACATTAAACTTTTTTTTTCCAGAGCTGGAGGTAGTCTGTAAGTGGTAGAGTATCTGCCTAGCAAGCATAAGACTCTGAGTTCAAACCCCAATATGAACAACAAAAACAACAAACAACAACAAAAACATGTTTTTCATATAGCTCTTGGCTATTTTTTTGTCCTTTCTGGAGAAATGTCCATTCAAATATCTAACCATTTTGAAGTTAGGTTGTTAGTCTTTTAAATATTCAGAACTAGAAGTTGCTTATCTATTTTGGAGATTTATTCTTAATCAAACATACTGATTGTAGGGGCTGGGAAGGTGGATCAGTGGTAGAGTGCTTGCCTTGCACACATGAGGCTCTGGGTTCAATTCCTTAGCAACACATAAGCAGAAAAAGCTGGAAATGGTGCTGTGGCTCAAGTGTTAGAATGCTAGCCTAAAACTGAAGAGCTCAGGGACAGCGTTCAGGCTCAGAGTTCAGGCCCCACGAGCAAAAATAAATAAATAAATAAAAAGATTGTAAGTATTTTCTCCCATTTTGTATATTGCCTTCTCAAAGGAGCAGTGTTTTTACTTAAGTTTTAATTAAAATGTCATATTAATTAAATACAAAAATGATAAAAGTTTGGATTGCTAAATTAAAGGATTATATCATTATAAGTAATCTCATTTGTTTCCTTTTCCTTTTCCTAATGTGGATACTAGAACATTCCAAGATAAATATATCTTGCATCATGTTTCTATTAAAGCACACTTCTATTATTATTATTATAACAATGTCATTAGAAACCATAATTTCCTCACAAAAAACTTCTTTATCCAATTATGGCTTCATCCACTTCTTTTAATCTGTTGAACAAATAAAAAAGGACAAATGAGCCTCACAGTAACTTGCGTTCTCTCCAGCAACTTTTATTTTTTAAATTGAAAGCTGTCAAAGTTATGGCAGAAAATAGTAGAGATAAGCTATGTCCACAGTTAAGCAGGGCAGGTGAAAAAACCAACCCTGCCCTGTGTTTCACCTTTATGAGGAAAAAGATATTCTGAGATACAAGTCATGAAAACTACTTCTTGAAACATTATCTTTACTCAGAAGGCAATGTGTTTGGTATAACTATCATTTTTGTCTGACAGATATAGGACAAAAAGTATCTCTAGCAGTGGTCCAAAGGATTGCTAAGAAAAACGATGAGTTAATTTGTACTACATTACCCCTACAATAATAAATTATTAACAAAAGACTATGTGTTCTGGTTACTACTCAAGTTAATTAAAGCACTGACCTGACCTTTATTGTTGGTATAAATCACAGTATTTTTGAAATTCAGAATCTGTGTGTCATAGCAACATTTCTTTTAAAAATTATACTAATGACCACTATGGAATCAAAATTAATAATGAGGTAGATAATTGGCCTGGGAAAATATAGAACGAACTCCAGCAAAAGTGAATTTGCTGATTGTCTATTTCCAGTGTGGACTGCTCACCATACAAATCATAAAAACTCAATGCCAATTAGTTTGATTAGTAATGTCTAGCTACCTTGGAATAATGCATCACTTAGAGTCTTATAGTAATGCATCACTTACAGCCTTAAAGAATGATCCATTTTGTTCAAAATCAATTTTTGTTTGCTTAACCAAAGGTAAATATTTACAAAAACAATGCTCAACAATATTCCTAAAATTAGATCCTTTATTAGGGCTTTATTTGTCATGAAAATAGTTTCTAATATTTATTTATTTTTCCATTTAACTGAAAATAAAGGTGTCTTATCATTGAAAAGTTGCTTTTCCTAACAAATTCTTTCTTTTCCCTCCACTTTCCTCCTTCCTTCCTTCCCTTCCTTCCATCCTTCCCTTTCTTCCTCCTTTCCTTCCTTCCCTCTCTCCCTCCCTCCTTGCTTGCCTGCCTGCCTGCCTGCCTTCTTTCTTTCTTTCTTTCTTTTTCTTTCCTTCTTCCTTGCTTGCTTGCTTTCTTGCTTTCCTTTTCTTTTCTTTCTTATTTTTGTATGTACCAAATACAAGGGTTTAGTTTCAGAACATCCCAATAATTATATATATATGGTTATTGTTATTGTAAAGGCTATGTACAGAAGGGTTACAGTTATATAAATCAAGTAATGAATACATTGCTTTCTTTTTATTTAAATATATTTTTTCATTGTAAAGATACTGTACAAAGGGGTGACAGTTACATGAGTATGGAAATGAGTACATTTCCTGCCGAGCATTATTATCCCCTCCATTGTTTTTCCCCTACCATCCCTTCCCTCCCCACCTTCCCCAGCTCTTCCCTCCTTCCACCCTCCAAGTTGTAAAGTTTGTTTTCAACATAGTGTCTTGTACATCTCATTGCTACAATGGGTCAACCTGTATCCTTATTTCAGCACTTTGTTATTTCCCTTATGAATACATTTCTTTTTCAACAATGTCACCTTTTCCCTGGCTCTCTCCCAGTTTTCCCCTCCTGTCCCCACCCACAAGTTTTATATTTCATTTTCAACATAGTGCCCAGTGAGTATCACTGCTTCATTTGTTCACACTTTGTCCCTCCATTTCTGTGCCCACTCTTCCCCTCCCAAAGACAGATAAACTAACAAGACAAAAAGAAAAGAAAACAAAAATAGCAAAAAAAAGGGAAAAAATCTCCTCTTCATTTCTTGGAGTTCATTTAAGTAAATATTCTTTTATATGTTCATGTACACATAGATATTGAGTTTTGATGATCCTCTCCTAAGACTATCCTCCTTTCCTAGCCAGTTATTTCTAAGTCTTAAGAGAAAAAAAACTGGAGAACTTTGCTCTGTTACTTCAAGGTCTCTGCATTCTAAGGCTCCACAATCCTGGAAACATAAAGCTCTTTGTTCTGGTTCAAACACATTTTGTTGGGATTTTGTGCATGAACAGACAAACAAGTAATTAAATTACAAAGGCAGCATCTTGTCTTTTATGTTATAAGAATAATTTTCTATACTGGATCCGTTTTCTCCTTCAATAACCTTTGGTTTCTGTCTGTAAGCCGGAAACACAATCTGGTTTAATTGTTTTTCTACTCATTAGGATGCTGTTGGTGGTACAGAAGGTTTATCCACGTGCTGAAACTAACGAAGGCTTCAGAGCTCTCCAGAAGTCTGTTAAACATCTGCTCTACACTCTGGACTCCCCAGTTCAAGGTATTATATTTTCTTCTTACTGTACTAAATCCAGTGTCACAATGCCCATCAGAAATATAAAGCAGAATGCAACTAAACCTATTGTGTATAAATGATACTTTTTTTTAGATAGAGACATATGCTGCCAATAAATCCAGGTCTCAAATTGAGACCTAGAGAAAGGATGAAATGACTGAAAAGAGAGTATAAGGTTCTAGGGTTTGTCTTTAGGTAAAAATGAGGTCTCTAAGCTTGTTAAACTATGTTTATGCTTAGGATGGAAAAATAAATGTCAGTGAGTGAGCTTCAAAAAACTAGATTTCTATACTATTTTTGGAACAAAATCTTACATTGGGTTTTCATGTTTTTGCCTTCATTTCTGAACTTTCTGATGCTTTGTTTGGTAAAAATGTACTCTCAGCCAATTATTACCAGAACATGAATAGATCTCTAAAGTACTTTGTCATCTCCAGCAAGGCAAGGTGTAGCATGATGCTCATGCCTCAGAAAATGTCACTTTTGCAAACACTAAATAGTGCCAGATACTACTAACATACAAATCCACCAATCAATACAGGCAAATACATTCAGTCAAAAGTTTTGAGTGTATGGGGCTGAGAAGGTGGCTCAGTGGTAGAGTGCTTGCCTTGCATGCATGAGGCCCTGGGTTCAATTCCTCAGCACCACATAAGCAGAAAAAAAAAAAGCCGGAAGTGGTGCTATGGCTTAAGTGGTAGAGTGCTAGCCTTGAGCTGAAGAGCTGAAGGACAGCGCCCAGGCCCAGAGTTCAGGCCCCTACTTCCCAAGTAAAATGATGGGTTAACATTTACCTTTCCTGAATACCTTTATAGTTGAGCTTTTTTATCTGAGTTTGTCAGTTTTTAAGTAGTTTAACTTTTGGATTGTAGGAATGAAAATCTATTGCATTGTCTTAAGATACTAGTTTTTGGCTGGGCATTGGTGGCTCACACCTGTAATCCTAGCTGAGCTCAGAAGGCTGAGATCTGAGGATTGTGGTTCAAAGCCAGCCTGGGCAGGAAAGTCCATGAAACTTAACTACAATTAAGCACCAAGAAGCTGGAAATGGAGCTGTGGCTCAGGTGGTAGAGCATTATCTTTGAGTAAAAAGCTCAGAGACAGTGCCTAAGCCCTGAGTTCAAGCCCTAAGACTATCACAACACACAACACACAAAAGATAGTCATTTTTTAATGAAAAGCCAAATTGGAGGCTTTAACGAATTCTCACTGGAAGGTCTAACATACTCTTGGATATGTTTCTATTCGTCAAGATATTTTTATATGTACAATTACAGAATTAATTACTACTTTGTAAAATGGATTATTGTTCAAATTAATGAAAATGATGAACAGTGGAAAATATTCTAGGCCAGGTAAGCAAATGAAGTTATTATACTCAATGTTCATTATGTAAAACATGAACTAAATAACTTGTGGGTAGGGAAGGAAAGAGGGAAATGGAGGAGAACAAAGGAAGTGGTGATATTGTCAAAGAAGTAACTTATGGATATCTATTTAATGATAACAATAAAAAAGTAAAATTAAAGTTACAAAATAAGATTTCAGCAGAGAACCAGACAGTTTCTCTATAACAACTTCTCTACTTATAAGTTTGCACCATAAAACTCTACTTATTTCCTCTGTGGGTTTTTTTTTGTAGTGTTTATCTTTAACAGACTTGAGAACTTCACATTCCTTCTTACTATTGTATCCTTTTCCTTATCAGACTCACACTTCCTTATTAATATAAAGTAAAGGGATAAAGTTAAAGTTTTTTTGGCATATGACAAAAGCTCATATGTGCCTTAGAAACCAAAAAGATGTAAGGAGTACCTTTTACCAATCAGGCAATGAAACACTTTTCCTGGTGAACAATCTACTCTGCTTCCCATATTGAATGCAGGCCATGCTTTTGTTAAATATTCTAGTCATCAGTGAGTGGCAGCCATGCCTTTGTCTATAAAGATACTCACTAGCATACTTAAGCTCGGCCTTGGATGGCCAAAATGACATCAAACTACATCTGAAAAGTGTTATCTACAAAAATTGGTGTGCCTAAATATTCTTTCTTTTCAAATTTTATACCCTTTGGGCTTTTTCAACCTGGGATAATGATGAAGACACGGCTATATTTGCTCCCAGAAGTCATTCATCTCAAACCTCTACCTATCTGAGCAAAAATTTCATGACCTTAAAAAAAATCTTCCTAGGTATTATTCAGAATCCTTCAGTGACCAGTGACTCTCATTCACCAAGCCAGGCATCCCTGCCCTTAGGGTCAGACACTTTGCTGCATTGCCCAAGCTGACCCCTGGTCATCCTGGTGTTTGGGCATATGTGAATACACTTTTTCCCTTGTTTTGGCCTCACTTGAACCAGAATTGTGTGTTATTTTGCATCAGAGCTGCTTGCTCCTCTCTAACTAATGGACAAGGAGGTTAAAATAGCTTAGTAGAACTCTCATCATTCTTTCAAATAAGGAAAGTAAATAGTGTATTGACTGTGTCCATGCTTTATGTTTTTTTTTTACCTTAAATCCCCTTAATTAGCAAAACAATTCTATGAGATGCAGTTATTATCCCATTTCACAGACAAAGAAACTGAAGCAAAGGAGGCTGGACACTTTGCCTTTGTCATCTAGCTAACCTGAAGCCAAAGTGAGATTAAAGCCCGATCTGTTTATCCTAAAGTCAGTCACCTTGAGTTGTATTATACATAGCCCCATTCACATTCTCTCTCTGAGACAGATACAGTCAAATCCATGGTTTCTTTCTTTTTTTAAAATTTAATTTAATTTTATTGTAAAGGTGATTACAGAGGAGTTACATTACACAAGTAAGGTAGTTAGAACATTTTTTGTTTGCTTGTTTTTATTTTTTCCCATTTATTTCATGAAATCTCAGTCTAGTTTTTAACTTATTTTTAGTAAGTTTTTTTATTGTGCAAATATCATACACAGGGGTTACAATTACATGAGCAAGGTAATAAGTACATTTCTTCCTTTTCTTTTGTGAAAATACCATACAGAGGGGTTACAATTACATGGGCAAGATAATGAGTACATTTCTTATCAGGTATTGTAGCCTCCTCCTTTGTTTTTCCCCTACCATCCCTGCCCTCTCATCTCCATGACTACACTCCCCTGCCTCCCCCCAACAAAGTTGTAAAGTTCTTTTTTCAACATAGCATCTTGTACATCTCATTGTTGCAGTGGGACCACCTGTATCCCTATTTAAGCAATTTATTTTTCCCTTCCCCTTCCCAAATTATATCAACATCAAATATAGTAAAAACAGGGGTTATACTGTGTGGGAGAGACATACAAAGCAACAAAAAAAGTAGGTTAGACCATGCAGAAGATCCAATCTCGGGGATTAAAGACAGCTTAGATATTATAGAGAAAGAACATACAAGTATCCAAGACAAATCCAAGAAATATGGTAGATCTATTCAATATTTGGAAGACACCATCAGAAGGCCTAATCTGAGGATAATGGGTATAGAGGAGCACATAGAGACAGAAGTTAATGTTCTAGGAAATTTATTTAACAGGATCCTAGCAGAGAACTTCCCAAACATGCAAAAAGATAGGCCTATTCAGATCCAAGAAGCTTTTAGAACCCCAAATAGACCAGAACAGAACAGAACATCCCACTGTCACATTATAATCTGCACAAGATCAATTCAGACCAAGGAAACGATCCTTAAAGCTCTCAAGGAGAAAAGACCAATCACCTATAAAGGGAAACCAATTAGAATCACCTCAGATTTCTCAGCAGAGACAATTAAAGCAAGAAGATCCTGGAATGATGTATGTCATGCCCTAAAGACAAACAACTAGTAACCAAGAATACTGTACCCAGCTAAACTCTCCTTTATAACCGAAGGTCAAATAAAAATCTTCCATAGCAAAGTCCATTTCTTCTTGAACATCCTTTTTCTCCAACTTTCCCTCCCCCAACTCCCCTCTCCCCTACAAGTTGTAAAGTTCATTCCCAACATGGTATCTTGTGAGTATTGCTGTTGCATTGGTATAGCTAAAGGAGTTGAGAGAGAACACTGAAAATGAAATCAAAGAAGTAAAGAAGTCCGTTCAAGATCTAAAACAAAGCTTCAACAAAGAAATTTAAGCCATTAAAACTGACCAATTAAAAGGAAGGGAAATAGAAAACAAAGTAGCAAGTCTTGACAGTGGACTAGAAGATGCAGAAGAAAGAACCCATAGTTTCTTAGAGAGACATGCAGGTATTTGCTATTGGTTTCGGGCACTAATAGAATGTGGCTCACTGTGCAGTGCTTCCTCCCACAGGACACCTTATTTCCTGTTCCCTGCACCTGATTTCTACACATCCTCTTCCTCTTCATGTCTTTCTCTGTCTCAGCCTCAATTCTGCACATACATCAAGAGTTCCTTAGGCACCTCCCCAGAACTGTGACAGCACAGAGATGCTAATAAACACCTGTGAAGAACTTTGCCTCCTAACTTTTAGGGATCCAAGTTTCAGCTTTGTCCCAAATAAGTTCTCTGACACACTGTGAATAAGCTCTGGAATTTCCAACTCTCAAGATGAGCAGGAATTATCTTTGTGACTCATTAGAATATGGCCTATTTACAAAACTGCACCATCTTAAAATATGCCTAACTCTACAAAAAGAAAAAAAAAATTTAAGAAGTAACATCTACTTTTGTAAGGTTTGTGACATTTTCCACTCCATTGAGGCCTATTTAGTACACTATTTCTTCTTATAGTCTTTAGTGGCTAGAAAGAAACGTTTCCATTTAACTTCAGGGTCAAGTCTATCACTGATAACATAAAGTTAATTTCTATTAGTTATTTTAATAGCTTGATGAAACAGAGAAACTCCATCACCACATAATGCACAAGTAGCAATTAACTTGCAGAGTATCACCTAGAAGTTCAAAGTGAGGAAGATTTGATCTTGGAAAAACATTTTTATATATATTTTACATTGACAAAAACCTCATAAATCTGAACAGATTTCTATCCTTGATTATTCTTTATAGAGCTGTCAGTAAGTCCTAAGAATAACCATTATGAATTAGGCATATTATTCTGGGTCTCTTCCTCTTTGTCCTTTAACTCACTGACACATGTTCTTTGTGAAGCACAGATAAGGAAAATCCACTGCTGAACTGGAAGACAGAAACAGCCACTTCACTGGGGACTAGCTATTAAACCACATTGCTAAATATCAGTGGTACAGGACATGGATAAGGAGGTTATGAATTCCTCGATACAGTCTTGATATATACATATATAAATATATATTTAAATAAAATAATCAACATGAAAGCATGAATGATAGCATAGTTTAGCGCTTTGTAAAAACAAGTGTTAGGATGTATTGCTTAGAAATCATGAAAGAACAATGAAAGATAGTCATAAAATTATCCTATAGGAAGCAATTGGACCAACATGAAAATGATCTCATTGCTGGGTACTTGTGTCTCACACCTGTAATTCTAGGAGGCTGAGATTTGAGGATTGTGGTTCACAGCTATCACATGTAGGAAAGTCCATGCAACTCTAATTTCCAATTAGCCAACAAAAAGCTGCAAGTGAAGCTGTGGCTCAAGTAGCACAGCACCAATCTTGAGCAAAAATAAAAAGGTAACTTAGAGCAGCCAGGCCCTGAATTCAAGCCACACACACACACACACACACACACACACACACACACACACACACACACACAGAGAGAGAGAGAGAGAAACATATTAAAATATGATGAATTATAAGAAATGAGTAGGTTATTAAGGGAAAGCATTGGATTTCAGGTATTATTTTTATGCTGTGACTATTTAAAGAATTTATGGGAATGCTGCTGCATGCTTGGTCTTTTGTTATATAATACATGTAGCCAACTGAATCAATGACCTATTTAACTTCTAAGGGCAACTTTCCATGCTGAATTAGATCTTCACATAGGATTTCCATTACAGTTGCCTTATTGAGTGCCTTCTGCACACTGCACCTTCTACATTATTTGGAAGACTCAGAAAAATTCTGTTAACATTAGCCAATTTGCATTTGCAGCTGCTTTCACTGACCAGTGGCTGCTTGGGGGAAGATAGAAAATACACTTAGTGATAACAGATGCTTCCTAAGGCTACATTATAAACAATTGAGCCTACCCCTGCAAGAAAAAAGACAAAGAAACAAATCCAGTGACCTGTGTCACTGAAATTGGTTCAATTATTAACCAATGATGTGGTAGTCAATGTTTATTATGGCATTTAGAAAGTTATCTATACAAACAGATCTTGGAGAAATAGCAATGTAGTGGCTTGATAGAGGGAAAAAGAAGTTGTTAGAAATACATGTGTTTGGCCATCGAGACCATTTTCATTAGTAGACATCCATTTGTCATAAATATCTTTAATACTTTCCACAAAAATGGCTTAAACATTTCTTGTAAAAATCTTTGGGGTAAGAAATTCCAGATTTTACCATTATTACCTATATATTTGACTTAGATGGCTTGTGGAATGAGAAAAAATTTTTAAGCAATCATGTTCAATGTTTACTATATAAATTTTATTACAGTAGGTGCTGACTCTGATAATGGAACACACGGTTGGAGTGAGGATGATACACGGACGCTCTCTGCAAGCAGTCTGGCTGGACAGTAAGTCTTTGATTTTAAATAGGTTGTAACTTGGCTGAATAAGCAATCAAAACAATTTATAAACACAAATCCCCTTATCATTGTGTAGAACTATATAGAATAGAAAAATCACCTATTGAAGCTCAGCACAGTAGCTCACGGCTAGAAACACAGCCACTTGGGACATGGATACCCAGGGATCAAGACTCAAGATCAGTCCAGGCAAAAATAAGTTCCTAGGAGTCCATTTTAACCAGTGCTTGTTAGTGGTAGTGCATCTGTTTTCCCATCTATGGATTGTAGAGGGAAGCACAATGGTTCCAGGCAATTGCGCATGTCTGTTATCTCCAGCCATGTAGAGAAGCACAAGTAGGAGGATCACAGCCCAGGCCAGCTTGGGCATAAGGAAACTCTCTACTTTAAAAATAACCAATGATTCAATGTACATATATGAAAAATGAAATCAGGTAAACTGAGGGGAGACACTGATCAAGGTGCATTGTACTCTTGAAACTCCTTTGTACAACTACTTAAAGATAAATAAAATGACAAAAAAAGATAAAATAAAATCAACAAAGGAAAAAGAGACTGGAAGAGCATCAAGTGAGCATCTCAGCTCAAGTTTCAGGACCAACCAAATAATGAAGTTAAATTAAAAATCAACTATTACATGTATAAAAGAAAAGGCATAGTCAAAAGTAGTGTAAAGCTAAAACTAATTTTTTGCATTAAATTATACAGTATAACTCTGATGTCACAACATAAAGATCTTGAGCTTAATTCTAGAGTTGCGTAACTATATCGGATATGTCATGTCTAGATTAGTTATTTTAGGCCTGTGAGGAGACTCTAGCTGGAGGTCGTTTCTGACTTGTTTTGTTGTAGAAAATATATGTAAGTATCTCTTAGGCTTTTTGGGTGCTATAGCAAAATTCCATGGACGGGATAACTTATAAACAATAAGAATTTCTTTTTTACAGGTCTACAGGCAGGCAAATTCAAAATGAAATTGCAGCAGATTTGGTGTTTTTATGATCCAGTTTCTGGTTGATAGATGTTACCTTCTTATTGTGTCCAGCCAGCTCTCTGTGGCTGCCCTTATAAGGAGCACTCATGCTCTCCTGACCTAACAATCCCACAAAGGCTTCTTCTCCAAATATCATCACCTTGGGGTTAGAATTTCAATATGTGAACAGACATTCAGACATACAGAGCACAGCAACACCTAATTTTTACATTACTATTTCTTTTGGTTTCTAAGGAATTGAACTATTACTGATGGTAAATCAAGCCAATGCAAAATATAATTATAATTATCTATAAGTATAGATGATAATCTATAATCTAGATTATAGATAAGCTTAGTTTAGACATTGATTAGGGTTGAGAGAGCCCCAGGAATAGGTAGTGGAAATGACAACAGTAACTTTGATGTCTACAGTCCATAAGTATAAGGGGATTCTTGCAGGAACTGTAATAATTATGGAAGGAAATGTGAGCAGCTCTCTGTAGTAGCTGATTGAGGTCAGTTTTTTAGTTCAAGACAAATGTCGAGACTAAATGTTACTTGACATAAAGGTTACTTGAGCTTGATAAATTGTACCATTGAATTATTTGATTTTAGTCCCCGGAATATGTTTTTGTGCTAGTGAAAATGTGTACAGTGAAAGCAAAGATCATAAGGATGAAGAAAGGTTGATCAGTGACTACAGAATTTTAGCTAGATGGAGCAAGAAGTTCAGGTGTCCATTGTCCAGTAGGGTGACTACCAGTGTCAATACTGTCCTAAACATTTCCAGAAACCCAAAGGAAGGATTTTAGCTAGGTGCCCATGGCTCATGCTTGTAATCCTAGCTACTTAGAAGGCTCAGATCTGAGGATCCAGGTTTGAAATTAGTCCTGGCAGGAAAATCCATGCAAATCTTATCTCCAATTAACCAGCAAACAACAGAAGCAGAGATGTGATTCAAGTGGTAGAGCACCATTCTTGAGCTATCAGAGTTCAAGCCTCAAGACTGGCACATACACTCAAAAATACTACACAAAAACAAAAAAGGAAAGGATGTTTAATGTTTCCCACATAAAGAGTTAAGATAAATGATTAATTTAAACTATATCAGATAGATGTATCAATATATATGGTACCTCATAAATATGTGTAATTGTTACATTTTTATGTATAAGCTAAAACACATATTAAAATGATAAGATAGAATAGGATTTAGTTTTAAACGTACACTTTTTCTCTAAAATATAATCTATATAATTGTTTATGGAGTTCTATTTAATGAAAAATTCTCTGAGTAAATTCTTGACAAAATCCTTATATAAATAACCCATATTTTCCTTTCTTTCTTCCTTCCTTTCTTTCTTTCTTCCTTTCTTTCTTTCTTTGTTTCTTTCTTTCTTCCTTCCTTCCTTCCTTTCTTCCTTCTTTCCTTCCTCTGTGTGCGTGTGTGTGTGTGCTGGTACTGAAGCTTGCCCTGTCACTTGCTCTGTCTGATACTCAGTGACTTCAGTCATACATCTACTTCTGAAATTTTGCTAGTTAATTAGATTAAAAGCCCAGGCTGGTTTTGAATCTTTAGCTTCAGCTCTCCACCTTTGAGTATAACTAGGATTACAAGCCTGAGCCATCCTGCCCAGCAAACAACCACTTCCTGTTCTCCCTTCCATCTCCCTCCTCTATGTTGGCTGGCCCAGGAGTTTTCCTGGGAAGACTGAATCTTTGACCAATATCCTCTTAGCTAGACTGCCATGTTTCAAATAGGCTTTTAAAAACATACCCCTTAGCTGGGCACAGTGGCTCATGCCTATAATCCTAGCTACTCAGGAGGCTGAGATATGAGGATCAAGGTTCAAAGCCTTCCCTGGCAGGAAAGTCTGAGAGACTCTTATCTCCAACTAACCACCAGAAAACTGGTGCTGTGGCTCAAAGTGGTAGAGCACTAGCTTTGAGTGGAAAAAGTTCAGGGATAGTGCTCAGGCCCTGAGTTCAAACCCCATGACTGATGAAGGAAAGAGCAAGGAAGAAAGAAAGAAATGGAGGAAGGAAGGTAGGAAAGAAGGAAGGAGGGAAGGAAGGAAGGGGGGAAGGAAGGAAGGAAGGAAGGAAGGAAGGAAGGAAAGAAGGAAGGAAAGAAGGAAGGAAGGAAGGAAGAAGGAGGGAAGGAAGGAAGGGGGGAAGGAAGGAAGGAAGGAAGGAAGGAAGAAGGAAGGAAGGAAGGAAGGAAGGAAGGAAGGAAGGAAGGAAGGAAGGAAGGAAGGAAGGCAGGCAGGCAGGCAAGCCCACATCACTTATATAACCATCCAAAATATTAAGAATTTAAAAAGAACCTTTTGGATTGACACAGTGGATGTTATTGCTGACCCAAGTAACTTCATGATGCCCACAGGCACCACAGCATTGCAATGCAGCACTTCTGTCTTGCAGATCCCACAGCAAACATAGTAGCTGACAGCTAGCTGACGGCTCATTAGGGAGAATCCAATACTATTAAGATGGCTCTTGTTGAGATTGATGAAATGAAGGGATTCCTTATCTTCCAACTTCCTTTCTGTTTCCACTTTAAAATAATCAGGGTGGCAACAGTGGCACAAGATAAAAGGATGGGTTTTGGTTGTTTGTTGTTGTTGTTTTTGCTACAGAGTTTTCTAAAGAAAGCTATTTTTAATGCTTTTCTCTCATAGCTCTTCTCTACCATTATTTCTGTTTGAAGGTCATCATTTTTATTAATTTGTGTGTGTATTTGAATGCTCCTGGAAAACAGCATTTTGTACAAAAGATACATAAATTAAATGCTCTAAAGGGCTTATGGGGTGCTTGTTTATGCTGGAATGTGTCATAAACACATGGAATCAATTTTTGGAGTACATTAAATTCATTCTCAAAATGTTAGGTAATTAAGTGTTTCTTGTGAAACTGAGAGAAGAGCTTAATCAATATCTTAAGGTCACCTCAAGTACAACTACTCTCAAATTTGACATTATTGCCATGGGCATCTCTTGTTCTAGTCCATCTGGAAAGCTGGGCCAATACTTTTCTGTAGAGTATTATTCCCTGATGAAACTGGCTTTACGCATTTAAAATTATGGCAGAGGAAACTAACCACAAAGGGAGGAAGAGCAATACTGAGAAGAGTGGGTAGAGGTAAGAGAGGGAGATGACAGAGGACAACCTCACATGAGCCAGGAGTTACCCTACGTGGGACCATCCACTTAGGCCTCATTGTCTTCCTCTCAGATAAACAGCCAGGGTCTTGGAAGCCTCCCATCTCTTACTTAAACATTTATACACTCAATAGCCATTAGCTCAGGTAGCCATGTACAGAACACAGTTGCTAGTTATTCTGTAATGGGGACTGCATCAGGGTAAGCAAGGAGTAGAATAGAAGTTAAATGGATCATTCCGTCAAGTCATCAGTAAGCTATATTATGAAACCTATATTTATTCCTATAGTCAAATAAAATAGTGGATGCAGTAAATTTACAAAGCTTCATAATTTGATTTGTCTCTTCTTTCCAATCCCATCTTTTAGCCTATCCTTAAGAGCTTCTTTTTTGAGACTGTCCTTGTTTCCATCAATATTGCTAAAGTTGTTGCATATTCCAGAACACTAGCTCAATGCCTCCAGTCTTAGCACAGTGCTGTGAATATACTGCTTGTAATGACCTTGACTTGTCCTGGTTTGACTTGACTTCCTGCTATCATGAATGGAATGACAGCCCATGACACTTGCCTATATGTAGACGTGACTTGATAGAATATGACCAACTTATACAATGAGTTTAGTACTGTTATCTACCACATTCCTGTTCTGTTTTTAACAGTTATGTAGTGATTCAGAAATCTCTGATAGATGACTTCTCTTATTTAGGCCAGAAAATTTAGTCTCAGCATATATTAGGCTGTCCTTTGTGAATTGATAAATGACATTGATTATCTGCAAGGAGGCTTTGATAAATAATGAGGCTAACTGTCTGAAAGCTCAATGGTCTAAGACAGCCGAATACTGTTTTATCCACAGTGTCCAGTCAAGGAAACACCTAAGCAAAAATAGAGGACTTTTACGATCAACCCTTCTTTTTAAATCTGGAGTTTATCGACTCTATTTAAGTAACAGGCAGTGAATTCTCACCGCCAACTTAGGGTCTTTTCCTGCCATAAGTTTTTTTAAAGTTCTCTAAAGCTTGAAACACACTGAGGTTTCTTTAATGGTGGTGTACAAATATTCCTGTATTTTCTAAGCATATCAGAACAAGTATCTTCCACTAGTATTTTAATAAAATTGATGTTCAACATCTGAGAGAACTAGATATTGTTATGTAGCGTTTTGTGTATTTTAATTCAGTATTTTAATTCAAATAAGATGGCTTACAAATCAGGTATTTGTAGTTATTCTTCCTACTGTAGGTAAAAATTCAACAGAAAATGCTAAAGGTAGTTATAAAATTGGGAAGCAGCTGGTATGTCAAAGTATATATCAAATATACACACTTACTCAGGAAGACAAGCCTAAAAATATAATCTTAGGCTGTGTCCTTATTTGGCAGTTAATTAAAAGAAAATGGTTAATTTGAAACTTAAATACTAAAAATAATAACCAAGGAGAAGGTAAGTTTGCAGGGAACACACTAGTGCTGCCTTTGTTGAGCTGAGCTTGGAGTAGGGAGACTTCTGATTTCACAGGATTTCAACACCCATGCCAACCAAACACATGCAAGCTGGCACTAATGCACTTTCAACAACAGAGCTTTGACTTAGGTCTTGATGATTGAATCTACATATGCTTTTCTAATTTTGTAGGCTCTTGATTCTGGAAACCTTTGAAGATGCTCTCTTGAATATATCATCAAATAGTCCTTATTTCCCCTATTTGTCATGTGTGAGAAATGTGACGGATAATTTGGCCAGAGGATCCCCAGGTAATTCTGTTCCTAACAATAGACTCTACTCTAAATTTCTGTTCTAAAGGATTAAGCCTTTCTTTTTTCTTTTTATTCATCTATGTTAGTTATAGTGTAGAGGAGAATTTCATTGTCACCTCTACATACACATTTACAACTGTCAAGGAACTAAGTCTTATAAGCCATTTGCTGATCAAGGAATGGAATTTTTAAAACATATCTTTTATACATGTTTCAGTTTGGTGTTTTGACATATGAACTGAATGAACTAAAATGAACTAAGTGAACTAAATGAACTAAAAGTATTATTTGCTATTGCTTTTACCAATGCCCATCTGGACAAACTTTATATAATGCCACATATTGATATAATGCCAATGGCTACCAGGACAAACTTTACTAATAATCAGAGTTAGTGGCAATTCTACGTCCTGAACACTCAGTATTGCTGAGTACAGACGAATGATAAAGTACAATTCCACAAGCAGATGAAAATTATGTAAACAAGAACATTTTTTGCAGACTGTTTTTACTTTCGTTCTCATCCTTTATATTCCCAAATTCTCTACATATGTGAGTCATCATGATGATCACAATTCAATGCTTGCTTGCTTTCCAGAGAATACCTATTTTCTCACATTTTCTACAAGGCACACATTCTATTTTCCTTTATTGATTTTTTTTGAGATGTGACAGCGAGCAAACTTCACGATACATATTTAAGGTTTGTCTTTGTTTACCGGACATTAAGTAATTAAGGTTAGAAGTATTTACATCACAGTAACTGTACAAACTATTCTCTTCAAAACTTCTTAGTAGTAGAACCAAAAGTCAGAAATGGAAGCATATTTAATTCACAGAGAGCCAAAATCATGTAGCGGGTGCTAGAAATATTTCTTTTATCACTAAGCAGAATATCTATGAATATTTTAAAAATAATGAGCTCTATAGTCCACGTGGTTCAAGCAAAGGTTAAATTATTGCTCCTCTTACATTTATATTGAAATAGGTTATTATTTTTAAAAAAGGAATACATCAAAATAAAGTTATCTTTATTTTTCCAACACATTTCCCGAGCCACCTTGTAATTCTATAAAGTAACTCTTCTTCCCTTTTCTACAGAAAATCTACAACTTCTGCAGTCTACCGTTCAATTTAAACACTCTTTTCTTCAAAATGGCTCCTATGAGGATTACTTTCCTCCAGTTCCAGAAATTCTCAAGTCAAAAGTAAGTTATGGTAGAAAAATATAAACATCAACCCTTCCTGTAATACTTTGGCAAGATACTTTCAGCCGAAGTTTTCGATCTGATCTTTGCAAATAATCTTCTTTTCAGCCTGGATTTATCAGGGATGGCATTATGGTGATATGATGTAACAGTTTATTGTTTGTTTGTTTCTTAATCAGTGGTCATCTCTATATAAATTGATCCAGAAGAAACTAATTGCAGTTAGAAAAATGACTAAAATAGAAATGAGTAATAATGCAATTCTCTTGTTAAGCTTTATGATTGAGAAAGGATTTATAACATATTTACTTACTTGAAATGTCTCAAGTTTGAGATATATAAAAAAGATTTTGAGGCCAGGCACTGTGGCTTCAGGCCTGTACTCCAAGCTGCTTAGCAGGCTGAGATCTGAGGATTGCTGTTTGAAACCAGCCCAGGCAGGAAAGTCAGGAGATTCTTCTCCCATTAACTGCCAAAAAGGCAGAAGTGGAGTTGTGGCTGAAGTAGTACTGCACCAAGCCTTGAACAAAGAACAAAACAAAACAGAAAAAAAAACAATTCAGGAACAGTGCTCGTGTCCTTCCTTCCGGCTCGGGGACTAGTACCAAAAGTAAAATAAAATGAAATAAAAAATTTTATGCTGATGTTTTAACCTTACAATGTACTAAAAAATTAGGAAAAAATTAGGAAAGCAACTCCTTTTGCAATAGCCCCACAAAAAAAATAAAATACCTAGGAGTTAACTTACCTAAACAAGTGAAGGACCTCTACGATGAAAACTTTAAAAACTTGAAAAAGGAAATTAAAGCAGAACTAAGGAAGTGGAAAAACCTTCCATGCTCCTGGATTGGGAGGATTAACATCATGAACATGGCATTACTGCCAAAGGCTATCTACAAATGCAATACCTATCAATCTTCCAAGGAAATAGGAAAAGTAATCCTAAAATTCATATGGAATGATAAAAGACCCCAAATAGCAAAAACAATCCTTATCAGAAAGAACAGTGCTGGAGGAATATCAATACCAAACTTCAAACTCTACTACAAAGCCATAGTAATCAAAACAGCTTGGCAAAACAAACAAACAAACAAAAAATATAGCTTGGTACTGGCATAAGAACAGACCTTAAGACCAATGGAATAGAATTAAAGACCCAGAAATGAACCCACACACATATAGCCACCTAATCTTTGACAAAGGAGCTAAAAAGTAGAATGGAAGAAAGATAGCCTCTTCAGTAAATGGTGCTGGCAAATTTGGTTAATCACATGTAGAAAACTAAAGCTAGATCCCCATATATCACACTGCACCAGAATCAACTCCAAGTGGATCAAAGACCTCAAAGTTAAAGCAGACACCCTGAAAACATTACAGGGAGGAATAGGAGAAACTCTAGGGCTCCTTGGTCCAGGCCGAAATTTTCTTAATAACGACCCAGAAACACAACAAATCAGAGAAAGTTTGGACAAATGGGATTGCATGGAACTGCAGAGCTTCTGCATGGCAAAGGACATAGCTAGCAAGATCAATAGAAAGCCCAAGGATTGGGAGAACATCTTCACTAGCCATACAACAGACAAAGGTCTCATATCTAAAATATACTTAGAACTCAAAAAATTAAATTCCCCCAACAACAAATCCTCAAAGAAACAACCACCCCATTAATAAGTGGGCTAAAGACTTAAAGAGAGACTTCTCTGAAGAGGAAATAAGAATGGCCAATAGATACATGAAGCAATGCTCAACTTCTCTGGCCATAAAAGAAATACAATTCAAAACAACATTGAGATTCCACCTCACACCAGTTAGAATGGCTATAATCAAGAACTCTAATAACAACAGATGCTGGAGGGGATGTGGCCAAAAGGGAACCCTACTGCATTGTTGGTGGGAATGTAAATTTGCTCAACCACTTTGGAAAGCAGTATGGAGGTTCCTCAAAAGACTCTGCATAGAGCTCCTCTATGATCTAGCAATCCCGCTTTTAGGCATTTACCCAAATGATTACAAACAAGGCTATAGTAAAACTACCAGCACAAATATATTTGTCACAACATTATTTAGGATAGCTAAGATATGGAATCAACCCAGATGCCCCTCAGTACATGAATGGATCGAGAAAATGTGGTATATATACACAATAGAATTCTATGCCTCCATCAGAAAGAATGACACCACCCCATTTGTTAGGAAATGGAAAGACTTGGAAAAACTTATATTAAGTGAAGTAAGCCAGGCCCAAAGAAACATAGGTGCCATGGTTTCCCTTATCTGCAATAACTAGTATATGTCTAGGACAAGCAGAAGAGGTCAAAAGCTAAGTACATATGAGCATATAACCTGAGGCTAAGTGAAATGAACCCTAAAATAAGGACATAAGAGATTTTATCTTTCTTGCTGTTCTTTTTAATATACTTATAATGTGCTATGTGATTTTTTTTGTTTCTTAGTATGTTCTTCCCTCATGGTACAATCCTTGTTGTCACTGTATTTGATTCTGGTGTCCTGCATCTTGTATATACATTTTTCTAATTTGGGGAGGGGAAGGGAAATAACAAACTTCTGAAATAAGGATTCAGGATGACCTATTGTAACAATGAGATGTACAAGACACTATGTTGAAATAAACTTTACAACTTTGGGAGGGGGAGGGAGGAGTTGGGGAGGTGGGGAGGAAAGGGATGGTAGGGGAAAAACAAAGGAGAGGGTAACAATGTTGGAGAGGAATGGACTCATTACCTTGCTCATGTAACTGTAACCCCTCTGTACAGTATCTCTACAATGAAAAATATACTTAAAATTTTTAAAAAATCTTAAAAATGGATTCACCTATTTTTATTATTACTAACAGAAGTAGAAATTAGTATGTCACATTAAAATGCATGACATTGAAAACAATAAGAAAAAAGTGAACAACAAATTGACAATCTTAAGTTTGAATCAGTTCATGTTTATGTATTGCTTATTATGATGATGCTCATGAATTTAAGTTTATCAGGAAATTCACTTCATTTTTTAAAATAATCCATTACATTTTGAAAACAGCTTTCCTAGTAAAAAGATCAGTTTAATTGAATTTATGTAGCTAAGGATACAGTAAAATTAGACCTTGTTTGTTTGAGGCAAGCAAAATGATTTGCTATATAGGCAACAGGGCATAATTAGGCAGGCAAAACATTATGACCAAATATATTACAAAAATATGCCAACTGAATTACTTACCTTTTGTACCTTAGTCCCTGCATGAATCAAAATTTCTATTGTTCTTAATTTAGCATTATCTTCATTTGTGCAAATGAGGCAGAAGTTATGCATTCATCTAGAAAATTCCTACTCATCCTCCAAGGACAAGTTTAAATGTCACTCCTTCTATAGTATTCATATATCCCCTTTACTCTTGTTTCATTACTCCTGACAGAGTAATGATGTTTTTCTGTCATCTGTGCTTCTTATTTCTTGTATTTCTTTAATTATTGTTTCTGTAATTTCTGTAATTATTGTTTTAATCCATCATCTGTGCTTACATATACTAAGCACTACCCCAAATTTTGTACTGTGCATACAATACAGTGGAGGACATGAAAGGCAGACCAGCGATTTCAACCCAGTGAGATTGTGTTGTGTGGTATGTGGATGCATGAGATTCTGTGAATGGAGATAGGATGTGTATGTAACTCAGATTGTGGCATCTGGAGGCAAAGAGAAGACATTTGCTGGAGGAACTAATACTTTCTCCGAGTCTTACTGGCTCTGTAGGCTTAGGTCAGTGTTGTAAATTCCAGACATAGAGACTTGGGTTTGTAAGACGTCAGACATATGAGTCTGGGTGCTTGTTTTCTGGAGGTTACCTGGAGTCATATATCTACTTGAAGTAAAGAAAGGAAAGAGAGCTATGCAGAGCGCAAGTCCAGAAGACCTACCTCTTTCTGCAGAGGCAAGGAGTTTTTATTGTAAATTTAATGAGGGCAAAATTCACATAAAAAGAAATCTCTTGGGGAGAATTATGGAGATGAGATGGGAAGAATGTTGTCTATTTTTGCAATAGTCTAAGCAAAAAAGGGAAGTCCTCCATGGTTTTTGTGGCAGAGGACAGAAGGAAGCAATAGTTTCAAGGGTGATTTAAGGAGGCCAAATAGACACATGACAGCTGATGTGAAGGAGAAAGAAGAGAATTTGGCAATGCCATTGAGATTTCAGGCTTTTGGAACTTATTACTTGGTGTACTACCAGTGTGTATACACATATGTACCTCTACTTATAGACATATATATATATATCTATATAAACTTTTACAGTCTTATATAGATTTTTATATATGTAAACAGATTATATGAACACTATCTAGAGTCTAAAATGCTCCCTCTCTCTATATATATAAATATATAGCCTGTTTCCTTACTAGAATGTAAACCCCTTCTTCATTCCTGAAACTCTACAAACCAGCACATAGAATGTTAAAATACTAACAATGGAGCTGTGTTGTCAGGACAATTACTCACTCCAGTTCTTTACTCAGGAAGTAACCAGGCTGCACATAAGAGAGTCAATAAATGCCAGCATGCATTCTTAACCATTTATACTCAATAGAATGGGTATGAGGCTTTGAACAATGTATAATATCATCCACCATTTGAATTTAACATTCTTTTTTGAACATTACCTTATACAAATATGTCTAGAGACCATGGAGGAGGAAACAAATGACAACCCTGCCCAGTGGATAGAAAATCCATGGTCATCTATAACAAGAACAGATGTCATATGAAATTCACAGAGCCCATGGAGTCGTAGACCATGTTCCAAGAGAAATGTTCTCATGAGGAACATTCTTTACAGTTGTATCCTCAGCACCAGGGATAGAGGCCAGCATGGAAACAGTTGGTTCATTCATGCCACTGAAAGAATGAAACTAACAGTTTCACAACTGAGGATGGTCTTATTTCCCTGCTTTTTCCACCCAGATAATCAGTATTGTTGCTGATTTAGAACCTCCATATTCCAAAACCTATTCTTGGCATTCTTAAGATAGAAATTTGAGTCTCTAAGTGCCTGTCATTCATTAGTGACTTTTCCTTCTGTTTCCCCTTCTCTTTCTGAGATTGACATTTTTCTCCCCTTCTGTGTCTTCTACAGACTGAGAATTCTTCCCTCCTTGAGTTTCTCTGCTCTCTCTTTCCTTAATTGTCTGCGTTGTTATCTCTTCCTCCAGTCCCTTTTTAAGCAGGATAACTTCCTGAGTGAGGAGCAATGCACAAAATGGATATTTCCTATACTGGGTAGACGTAAAGATAACACAGTTTATTATTACATTTGCAAAAATATTAAATAAGTTATTTTCCCTTTGGGTAACAATGCAAAGTTATAAGCTTTTCATGTTTTATTGAAAGACAATATCATAAGAAATGAGAATAGAAGGATGAATTTAAACTTAAAATGAAGGAAGAACACATCCCCCTTTTGTTTCCCCACAGAGAACCCAGGAATGTGGTTACTTTATCATTGTTGTTATTATGTCAATTACACTTTGGATTCAGATGTATCTGGAAATGATTGAGCACTGGGGAATTCCATCATAGATTGAAATGGAGCGGGTTATGGATCATTGCCCAATTATAGACCTGACCTTCTATTTGTGATAAAAGAAACAGGGGCTCTATATGAGGCTTTGGCATGTCTGCAATCTGATGTTGACATACTTTTAAAGAGCAAATTATAATCTGTTGAATTTGTATGAATAATTAATGATTTGTGACTCCCCTAGCAGCTTAATATATGCATTAAGTTCTTCATGAAGTAATAAATCATGATAAATACTAACATCCATGATGCTGCCCTTGGTAGAGATGCTCCTCCATACAGTCCACATAATTGATGCTGATTTATCCTATTAATTCAGAGAGCCACACCCATTTCAGCAATGTGGCTATATTTCCAGTTTCTTCTTACCTCATCAATCCATAACTACATTTGCTATATAGACTTCTGCTATTTCACAAGCATGGATATCATATTTGCATTGGAATATTTGAAAACACTTCACGATTTCTACTGCATAGAGGTCAAAATTCAATTAAAACAAAGAATTTGAGCCAAGAGTATTTATCCTTTTGTTTAACACATGCTAAACAGTCCCTTGGAGGAAGGTATGGAAAGGTGTGCCTCTGTCCATTAGAGGTATAGTCAGATCTGGAGTTTAGAGAATCAGAGGAAGGAACAGCCTGGGAAATGAATGTAGAGTGATTGCTGAAAAAAAATGATGGGCTCTATTCCAGAATGGAACATTTTTCATTATAGTAACACTAGTAAGTATAATTTCCATGCATGGGAAGTCATTTGAAAAAAAAAGCCAAACCCAGAACTGATTATATTGTTAAATACAGTGGAAATGGGCCAGTGATATCTGCTATCTAAGATGATTCATGATTAATTTCTATGACTTTCATGCATTTCAGAAACACATCATTGTGCCTTTCTCATTTGCGCTACAGATTGAAATATTTCCAAATCTGTGCCTGTGCCATGAAATATTTCATTTCTGTCAAAATGAAACTTCTGATTGGAAACTGAGGTACAATGAGTGACACATGTATTTGCTCTGTAGATATTGTTCCAACTATTTTTTGCCTTCTTAAAAAGACTAGCTCTAGGGTAGCTTCTGAGCACCATAGATCTGGCTGTGTCAAAGACAAATACTTTTTTCCCTTAGGATGTATGACTTGAAAATATATCCTTAGAAACACAGAGCATAGTGAGCCACAGATAGGAATACAGCTGATAGATGAGACCCTTCTGGGTTTGGGATTTTAAACACTTTTTACCACTTACATAAGAACAAAAAACTCGGGTACCTTCATGCTGTTTTTATTCCTGTGAGAGAACAGAAGAGGATGTCAGTTGCAGTACTGACATTCATATTTTTAGGCAACCAAACTCCAGTTTACATGAAGCTGGTATTTTGTGACAGGATTATTTCCTTTAGCATGGGATCCTTGGATTTTACCCATCTTCCAGCATGTGAAAGAATATCTTTCCTGTTTAAGTTTCAATAATGATCCACACACATGTGTGCATTCTCTCTCTCTCTCTCTCTCTCTCTCACACACACACACACACACACACACCATTTTATTCATGGTGAACATTTGAGTTGCTAGTTGCTGTCTCCTCTTGGCTCTTGGCTATTGTGAATAAAGCTGCTTATGGACTTGGGTATACAGTGATTTCTTGGACCTCATTCTCTCTTCCTTGAGGAATAAACCCATATTGATCATATAGCAATTATGTGGTACATTTTATAGGGGAAGTGCTATCACGAGTTCCACAGTATCTGTGCCATTTTACATTGCCACTAACAGTGCACAAGTGTTATAATTTCTCTAGATTTTGTCAATACATGTGATTTTCGGATTTTCAGTTTATAGCTATCCTAACAGATATGAGAAAGAAGGGCTTCATTGAAGCTTCCCTTAAACATGATTTAAAATATAAGTTAAAATGCAAGATTAGTTGATTTGCAGTGTAGATGGAATTAAAACAAACGATTTCTATATTTTTAACTAGCTATATTTTAACTATATATATATATTTTTTTAAATTTTGGAATCTATAGTTGAGAAAATATATCTCAAAGTTCCAAAGATTTTATGAAATTCTTAAGGAAATAAGCTTAAAAGACACAAAACAGTGCTTTTGTAATGCTAAATAACAACACTTTTCACTTTGGAAAGCGGATCGATTTAGTTGCTTATTCTTAACTAATGAATACATAAAATAACCTAGCTAATCTATTTCTCTCTCTTTCCTCTTTCTGGAAAGCTTTCACAGCTTCGAAACTTGACAGAACTTCTTTGTGAATCAGAAACTTTGAACTCAGTAGAGAAATCATGCCAGATCTCTCACATGAGCTTTGGGAGTCTGTGTAAAGACAATGAATTTCATGTGCAACTTCTCGAAGCAGCAGAACTGGGAACCGAAATAGCAACCAGCTTACTGTACCATGACAATATTGTATCTGAAAAACTGAGGGATTTGCTGACTGGGGATCCAAGCAAAATTAGTTTAAACATGGATCGGTAAGTGTTCCCATTGTCTTCGTCATTGGCGAAATCCTTTCTCAAAATATTGTTGTGCCTTGTTGTATTTCCTCTCTTCTGTCTTGTTCCAGGCTCTTGGAACAGGCGTTGCAAATGAATTACTTGGAAAATATCACTCAGTTAATACCAACCATAGAAACCATACTGCATGTCAATAACAGTGCAGATGCATCTGAAGAACCAGGTGATTTCCTTTTTCTGTCTTCTCACACTGCGGTTTGGAAAGGCTTTGGGGGAAGTTCCCAGCCAAACCTGCTTTTCTGTCTGCCCTACACAGGAGAGATCTGAAGCAGACAATGGAAGCAGGCAATCTTGACTTCATAACCTAATGATCTTCAAATGTTAACTCGTTAGACCATTTACTTTTTGTTTCTCTACTATGTTAAAGTACATTCGATAGGTTACTGAGTAAGGATGAAATTCATTTGCTTTTGTGAGAATAATTTGATTAAGGTTTTTTTAAAGGTGCACTGCTAGGTGCAGAAATCTCAATTCAGAACTTTGCATTAGCATTCTGAGCATGATGTGTTATGTGGTACATTTCTTCTTTGTATAATAACTTCAGCACTGAAAAGAAAGCCATTCTGAATCTTGGACAACAATCAGTGACAAAATTAGAAAGGTGCTAAATCTAAAAGTAAGGAAGGGTATATTTGCATGATGGATTTTTTTTTTTGGGTCCGGTCATGGGGCCTGAACTCTTGGCCTGGGCGCTGTCCCTCAGCTCTTCAGCTAAAGGCTAGCGCTCTACCACTTGAGCCACAGCACCACTTCCGGCTTTTTTTCTTT